CAGTCCCGGGGTTTGTGGGCGTGGCTGCGGGGAGGTTGGGCGGGGCTGGGGCGTGGCCGCTGGGGTTTGTGGGCGGGGCTGTGCAGCGAGCGGGCGGGGCTGGGCGGGGCCTCGAGGCTGGGCGGTGCCCGGCTGGGCGGGGCGTGGTGCAGCTCCACCCATTTGTGGGCGTGGCTGTCCCTGCGGTTGGGGGCGGGGCTGGGCGGGGCCAGACGGAGGCGGCGCACCTGGGGGAAGAGAAACAGCTGAGGGGGCGGAGCTTGAGGCAGGTAGGGCCCCAATTTGGGGCAAAATCCCCCAATTTTGGGGGCATGGGGGCAGATTTGGGGGGTCCCAGGGGAGGGAGGGTCTCCCCAAAATTTGCATGTCTGGAATAATCTTTGGGAAATATTTTAAATTTGTCGAGTTTTAGGATTTGGGGCAAATTTTACGAAGATTTTTGAGGACCCGCCAATTTTCCCCAGTCCCTTTTTAGGAAAAATTTTCCCATTTTGAGCAAAAAGCAGACCCCTAAAATTTCAGGATGTAAATCCCCAAATTCCAGAGCCCCCCCCATGATTTTTTGGGGGCTCCCAACATTTTTTGGGGGTTTGGGGGAGGGGAAGGAGGCCCCGCCCCTTTTTTGTGGGGGGGGGCCCAGGCCCGGGGGGGGGGGGGGGACAGGTGGGCGGGGCTCAGGTGTGGGCGGGGCTCAGGTGTGTGCGGGGAGGGGGGTGAGCCCAGGGGGGAGGGAGGTGCAGGTGTCAAGGAGAGGAGCAAGGGTGGGGACAAGCAGGTGTTGGAGGGGCAATGGGTGACTCAGGTGTGCCCCAGGTGTGCCCCAGGTGCCTCAGGTGTGCTCTAGGTGTGCCCCAGGTGTGCCCCAGGTGTGCCCAGCTCTGTCCCAGGTATCTCATGTGTGCCCCAGGAGTGTTTCAGGTGTGCTCCAACTGTCTGGGGTGGGGACCCCCAGGTGTATGGGAGGGTCCCATGTGTGCCCAGGTGTTCCCAGGTGTCCCCCAGGCATATCCCAGGTGTGCCCAGGTGTTCCCAGGTGTCTCAGGTGTTGCCCACGTGCCCAAGCCTTTCTCCCTACCAAGTGCCTGGGCTCAGGTGTGTGCGGGGAGGGGGGTGAGCCCAGGGGGGAGGGAGGTGCAGGTGTCAAGGAGAGGAGCAAGGGTGGGGACAAGCAGGTGTTGGAGGGGCAATGGGTGACTCAGGTGTGCCCCAGGTGTGCCCCAGGTGCCTCAGGTGTGCTCCAGGTGTGCCCCAGGTGTGCCCCAGGTGTGCCCAGCTCTGTCCCAGGTATCTCATGTGTGCCCCAGGAGTGTTTCAGGTGTGCTCCAACTGTCTGGGGTGGGGACCCCCAGGTGTATGGGAGGGTCCCATGTGTGCCCAGGTGTTCCCAGGTGTCCCCCAGGCATATGCGAGCAGGTGTTGGAGGGGGACTCAGGTGTGCCCCAGGTGTGCCCCAGGTATCTCAGGTGTGCCCCAGATGTGCCCAGGTGTGCCCCCCTCTGCCCCAGGTGTCTGGGGCGAGGCCCCCCCAGGTGTGTGGGAGGGCACCAAGTGTCCCAGCTGTGCCCCAGCTGCTCCCCATGTGTGCCCCATATGTCCCAGGTGTGCCCCAGGTGTGCCCAGGTGTGTGTCCAGGTGTGCCCCAGTTGTACACCAGGTGTGCCCAGCTGTGCCCAGGTGTCTCAGGTGCTCCTCACGTGCCCAAGCTCAAACCCAGGTGTGTGTCCAGCTGCGCCCATGTGTCCACCCGGTATTCCCCAGCTGTGCCCAGCTGTGCCCCAGGTGTGCCCAGCTGTGCCCCAGGTATGTTCAGCTCTCCCCCAGGTGTTCTCAGCTGTGCCCCAGCTGTGCCCCAGGTGTGCCCAGCTGTGCCAGGTGTGTACCCAGGTGTGCCCAGCTGTGCCCCAGGTGTGCCCCAGGTGTGCCAGGTGTGCCCCAGCTGTGCCCCAGGTGTGCCCAGGTGTGCCCCAGGTGTGCCCAGCTGTGCCAGGTGTGCCCGTACCTGCACGATGTGCTCCTGCCCGTCGGGGCCCCGCAGCGCCTCCACCCCGCAGATGTCGGCGCCCCCGAAGAGGCCGGCGCAGGCGTCCACCCACGCCCGGTGCCTGTGGGAGGGGCGGGGCTCAGCGGCCACGCCCACCGCCATGGCCACACCCCCTCGCATTGGCCACGCCCCCGCGGGCTGGGCAGGGCCCTGCCCAAAGCCCCGCCCAGTCTGTGCAAAGCCACGCCCCCTTTTAAAAGGCCACGCACACAAAAATCCTTGAAGGTCACGCCCCTTTTGATGGCCACGCCCATCTGCTAGTCACACCTTTTCCCACATAGCTCCACCCTCTCAATAACCCCGTCCCTCCCTGAATAGCCCCGCCCCTTTCCTCCTAGCCACACCCCTTCCTGCATGACCACGCCCCTTTTCTCATACCCCTGCCCTTTTCTGCATAGCCCCCCCCCTCCTTCATAGCCACACTCCGTCATAGCCCCGCCCCTTTCTTTATAACCCCACCCCTGCACCATAGCCCCACCCCTTCTCTCCTAGCTCCACCTCATTGCTGCCCCTCCCCCACCCCCAGCCCCACCTGAGCCCTTCCCAAAGCCACGCCCCTCTTAGCCCCGCCCCCTCGCACTCACCTGGGGCTGAGGGCAACGGGCTCCACCTGCAGCTCCTCCCCCGCTTTGTCCCCGCCCCCCAGGGACCACCTGGGGGGACACCGTGGTCAGCGGGGACCCCAAAAACCCCATGGACCCACCCCTCCCCCACTCACACCCCTAAAGGCTCCGCCCCCAGGCTGAGGCCCCGCCCATTCCTGCAGACCCCACCCCAGGAGGAGCACACCAGGCCACTCCCCCAAACCCTGAGCCACGCCCAGGCCCCGCCCTCTGACTGAGGCCACGCCTCCAGTGCTCACCACGCCCCCCGGGTTGAACCCTACCAGTTCCTCCCAGTCCATCCCAGTCCATCCCAGTTCCCTCACAAACCACTCCCAGTCCCCCCAATTCACTCCAGTGCTCCCAGTCTATCCCAGTCCATCCCAGTCCATCCCAGTCCCCCCAGTTCCCCCCAGTCCCCCCAGTGCTCCCAGTCCATCCCAGTCTATCCCAGTTCCCTCCCAATTCCCTCCCAGGCCCCCCAGGCCCCTTCCCACTCCCCCCAGTCCCCTTCCCAGTGCTCCCAGTTCCCTTCCCAGTCCCCCCATTCCTCCCAGTCCATCCCAGTACCTCCCAGTGCTCCCAGTCCCCTTCCCAGTCCCCAGTGCCCCCCAGCCCCCCCAGTGCTCCCAGTCCATCCCAGTCTATCCCAGTTCCCTCCCAATTCCCTCCCAGTCCCCCCAGTCCCCTTCCCAGTGCTCCCAGTTCCCTTCCCAGTCCCCCCATTCCTCCCAGTCCATCCCAGTACCTCCCAGTGCTCCCAGTCCCCTTCCCAGTCCTTCCCAGTTCCCCCAGTCCCCCCAGTCCCCCCAGTCCCCTTCCCAGTGCTCCCAGTTGCCCCAGTCTCACCGCAGGGCCCGGTACTGGTCCCCGATCCTCTGCACCCGCAGCCGCTCGGTGCCCGCGGGGTCCCCCCGCAGCAGCGCCCCCGCCCGGGCCCCGCCCATGGCAGCGGCCACCGCCCCCAGCACCTGCCGGGAGCCCACGCGCACCTGGGCCGGGACAGGTGAGACAGGAGAGAGGTGAGACGGGTGGGATTGATGGGACAGGTGAGACAGGGACAGGTGAGACAGGTGAGACAGGTGAGGGACAGGTGAGACGGGGACAGGTGAGACAGGTGAGACAGGTGAGGGACAGGTGGGGACAGGTAATACAGGTGAGGGACAGGTGGGATTGATGGGACAGGTGAGACAGGTGAGACAGGGACAGGTGGGGACAGGTGAGACGGGTGAGGGACAGGTGAGACAGTGAGATGGGGACAGGTGGGACAGGTAATACAGGTGAGGGACAGGTGGGATTGATGGGACAGGTGAAACTGGGACAGGTGAGACAGGGGAGATGGACACACATGAGGGACAGGTGGGGACAGTGGAGGAACAGGTGAGACAGGTGAGATGGGAACAGGTGAGATTGATGGATGAGGGACAGGTGATGGGACAGGTGACATGGAGACAGGTGAGGGACAGGTGAGACAGGTAAGGGGACAGGTGAGGAACAGGTGGATCAGGTGAGATTGGGACAGGTGAGGGACATGTGAGGGATACGTGGGATTGATGGGACAGGTGAGTGAGGGAAAGGTGAGATGGGGACAGGTAAAGGGACAGGTGGGACACATTAAACCACACCCACACAGAGCCACACCCACTGAACTGGGCCCAGTGCCACACCCACACAGAGCCACACCCACACAGCCATGCCCTGCTGGCCACGCCCACACTGAACCCCACCCACACATAGCCACGCCCACCTCAGACCACGCCCCGCTCACCTGTCCCACCCCTGCGGGGGCGGGGCTGAGCGTCACCGTCATGGGGAAGGTGGGGGCGGTCAGCTGGGGACACCAGTGACACCAGTTAGAGACCAGTGACACCAGTGACACCAGTTAAGCACCAGTGACACCAGTTAGAAACCAGTAACTCCAGTTAGAGACCAGTGACACCAGTTAGAGACCAGTGACACCAGCTAAACACCAGTAACACCCGTGACACCAGTTAGAAACCAGTAACACCACCCTCAGTCCCCCCAGTCCCTCCCAGTCCCTCCCAGTCCATTCCCAGTCCTGAGACAGGGACAGGTGGGGACAGGTGAGACGGGTGAGGGACAGGTGAGACAGTGAGATGGGGACAGGTGGGACAGGTAATACAGGTGAGGGACAGGTGGGATTGATGGGACAGGTGAGACAGGTGAGACAGGGACAGGTGGGGACAGGTGAGACGGGTGAGGGACAGGTGAGACAGTGAGATGGGGACAGGTGGGACAGGTAATACAGGTGAGGGACAGGTGGGATTGATGGGACAGGTGAGACAGGTGAGACAGGGACAGGTGGGGACAGGTGAGACGGGTGAGGGACAGGTGAGACAGTGAGATGGGGACAGGTGGGACAGGTAATACAGGTGAGGGACAGGTGGGATTGATGGGACAGGTGAGACAGGTGAGACAGGGACAGGTGGGGACAGGTGAGACGGGTGAGGGACAGGTGAGACAGTGAGATGGGGACAGGTGGGACAGGTAATACAGGTGAGGGACAGGTGAGACAGGAGAGAGGTGAGACGGGTGGGATTGATGGGACAGGTGAGACAGGTGAGACAGGGACAGGTGGGGACAGGTGAGACGGGTGAGGGACAGGTGAGACAGTGAGATGGGGACAGGTGGGACAGGTAATACAGGTGAGGGACAGGTGGGATTGATGGGACAGGTGAGACAGGTGAGACAGGGACAGGTGGGGACAGGTGAGACGGGTGAGGGACAGGTGAGACAGTGAGATGGGGACAGGTGGGACAGGTAATACAGGTGAGGGACAGGTGGGATTGATGGGACAGGTGAAACTGGGACAGGTGAGACAGGTGAGATGGACACACATGAGGGACAGGTGGGGACAGTGGAGGAACAGGTGAGACAGGTGAGATGGGAACAGGTGAGATTGATGGATGAGGGACAGGTGATGGGACAGGTGACATGGAGACAGGTGAGGGACAGGTGAGACAGGTAAGGGGACAGGTGAGGAACAGGTGGATCAGGTGAGATTGGGACAGGTGAGGGACATGTGAGGGATACGTGGGATTGATGGGACAGGTGAGTGAGGGAAAGGTGAGATGGGGACAGGTAAAGGGACAGGTGGGACACATTAAACCACACCCACACAGCCATGCCCTGCTGGCCACGCCCACACTGAACCCCACCCACACAGAGCCACGCCCACCTCAGACCACGCCCCGCTCACCTGTCCCACCCCTGCGGGGGCGGGGCTGAGCGTCACCGTCATGGGGAAGGTGGGGGCGGTCAGCTGGGGACACCAGTGACACCAGTTAGAGACCAGTGACACCAGTGACACCAGTTAAGCACCAGTGACACCAGTTAGAAACCAGTAACTCCAGTTAGAGACCAGTGACACCAGTGAGAAACCATTGACACCAGCTAAACACCAGTAACACCCGTGACACCAGTTAGAAACCAGTAACACCACCCTCAGTCCCCCCAGTCCCTCCCAGTCCCTCCCAGTCCATTCCCAGTCCCCCCCAGTCCCTCCCAGTCCCTCCCAGTCCATTCCCAGTCCCCCCCAGTCCCTCCCAGTCCCCCCAGTGCTCACCAGTCCCCGGGGCCGGTTGCAGAAGCGCTGGGGCACCAGTGGAAAGGCCTCATGGCCCAGTTCCCGCTGCAGCCGAGCCAACTGGGCAAACTGGGAGCACTGGGAAGGTCTAGGGCCGGCCAAGCGCCCTCCCAGTGCTCCCAGTGCCCCCCAGTATCGCTCCCAGTCCACTCCCAGAACCACCCAGTCTGTTCCAGTCCCCTCCCAGTTCATTCCCATCCCTCCCAGTCTCCCCCAAATCCTCCCAGTGCCCCTCAATTCCCCCAGTTCCCCCTCCCAGTCCCTCCCAGTCCATCCCAGTGCCCCTCAATCCCCTCAGTTCTCCATCCCAGTGCTCCCAGTGCCCTCCCAGCCCCCCACCCAAATCCCCTCCCAGTCCATTCCAGTCCCTCTCAGTGCCCCTTAAATCCCCTTCCAGTCCATCCCAGTTCCTCCCAGTTCCCTCCCAGCCCCCTCCCAGTACTCCCAGTCACCCCTAAAACCCCTCCCAGTCCCCCCCAGTCCCTCCCAGTGCTCCCAGTCCCCTCCCAGTCCCTCCCAGTGCCCCTTAAATCCTTTCCCAGTCCCCCCATTTCCTTCCCAGTCCCCCCCAAATCCCTCCCAGTCCCTCCCAGTCCATCCCAGTGCCCCACAATCCCCTCAGTTCTCCATCCCAGTGCTCCCAGTGCCCTCCCAGTCCCCCCCAAATCCCCTCCCAGTCCCCCCCAGTGCTCCCAGTCCCCCCCAAATCCCCTCCCAGTGCTCCCAGCGGCTCACCAGGCAGGGGGCGTGGCTGAAGCCGTACAGGGTGGGGAGGGGGTCGCTGCCGGGGACCCCCCCCAGGTGCAATCCCACCAGGAGCCTGCGGGGGGCGCCCCCCGCCCCCCCCTCGGGCTCCTCCCGCACCAGCACGAAATCGGGGCGCACCTTCCTGGGGGGATGGGGGCGCTCAGGGGGTCCCCAAATCCCCCAACCTCCCCCCAAAATCCCCACCTCAAAACTCAACCCGAAAATCCCCCCCAAAAAAAGAAAAATTCATGCAAAAATGAGATTTTTTTTCACGAAAATTTTGGTTTTTCAGCCTAAATTCGGGGGGGAAATCCACCCCCCGCCGCACCCCAAAATTTGGAATTTGCGCCCCAAAATCCCGCCTCCTCCCCCCCCCCACCTCAAAATTCAAACCCCAAACTCAAAATATGAGATTTTTCCCCGAAAATTTTGATTTTTCACCCTAAATTTGAGGGGGAAAATCCCCCTCACCTGCACCCAAAATTTGGAATTTGTGCCCCAAAATCTCCTCAACCCCACCCCGATCTTCCTTTGAACCCCAAAATTCGCACCCGGAACCTCAAATTCCACCCCAAAACTAGGAGAGGACCCCAAATTCAGCCCTAAATTGAGGGGGGAAGATCCAGCACCCCAATTTTAACCCCAAAATTAAGGAGGGGACCCCAAATTTCATCCTCAAAATAATGGAGAAAAGCCTAAATTCCACCCCAAATTGAGGAGGGAACCCCAAATTTAATGCCAAAAAGGAGAAGGGAACCCCAAATTTCATCCCCAAAATTGGGGGGGACCCCAAATTCAGCCCTAAATTGAGGAGGAAAGCCCAAATTCCACCCAAACTAAGAAAGGAGACCCCAAGTTCAGCCCCAAAATTGGGGGGAACCCCCAATTGAGCCCCAAAAAGGAGAAAAGAACCCCAAATTCCACCCCAAAATTGAGCAGAGGACCCAAAATTCAGCCCTAAAATTGGGGGGAGACCCCAAATTTCACCCTAAATTGAGGAGGAAAGCCCAAATTCCACCCCAAAGTAAGAAAGGAGACCCCAAATTCAGCTCCAAAATTGAGGGGGGCACGCCCAGCACCCCAAAATTAGGGAGGGGACCCCCAAATTTCAGCCCCAAAAAGGAAGAGACCCCAAATTCAGCCCCAAAATAATGAACGAAACCTCAAATTCAGCCCTAAAATAATAGAGGGAACCCCAAATTTCATCCCAAAAAGGAGGAGGGACACCCAAATTTCAGCCCCAACATTGGAGGGGACCCCAAATTCAGCCCCAAAATAATGGAGAAAACCCCAAATTCAGCCACAAAATAATGGAGGAAACCTCAAACTCAGCCCCAAAATAATAGATGGAACCCCAAATTTCATCCCAAAAAGGAGGAGGGACCCCCAAATTTCAGCCCCAAAATTGGGGGTGACCCCAAATTCCACCCCAAAATTGGGGGGGGATCCCCAAGTCGTACCTGGAGCCCCCCCGGGGGGGGTCGATGGTGACGCTGAGGGCGCCGTGGGTGGAGGCAGCCAAGGAGAGCTCCGAGAACTGGGCCTGGGGGACCCCAAAATCCAGGGGGGGACACCCCAAAAACCGCCGGGGGCCCCCCAAAACCTCCCTGGGACCCCTCAGTCCCGCCCCAAACCTGGCCAGGGCCCCGAGTTGGGTTCAAAAAAGAGATTTTTAGGGAAAATTCAAACCGGGGAGGGTTGAAAATTCACTGAAATTTAGGAGCACACCGCCCCCAAAATTTGTCCTGAACCCCCAAATTGGAGGGAGGAATTGGGGGGGTTTGGGAACCCGGACCCCAAAATCTCAAGGGAACCCCAAAAATCTTTGAGTGAGACAAGAAAAGGTTTCAGGGCACCCCAAAATTTCTCTCAGGGACCCCAAAATTTCCCTCAGGGACCCCAAATCCTCCCTAAACCTGAACCCCAAAACCGGGGAGGGACGGGAGGTTCAGAGCACCCCAAAATTTGGGCCAGGCCCCAAAAATCCAAGGAAATCCCCAATGCAGAACCCCCAAAATCTCCCAGAACCCCTCAACAAAACCGACCCGAACCCCAAAATTAGGGGAACCCCAAAATCTGGAGGGGGACCCCAAAGCATCCAGAACCCCCAAATTTTAGGGGTGACCCCAAAACCGGCGCTTCAAAATCTGGGGGGGCCCCAAAGTGTTGAGAGACCCCAAATTTTTTATGGGGAGGGTCCCAAAATCAGAGAGGGGAGGCCCCAAATTTTTAGGGGGGCCCCAAAATTAGAGGGGGGGTCCCCAAAACTCACCTGCTCCACCCTCAGCTCCACGTCCCCGTGCACGGATTTGCCCTTGAAGGGTTTCACCCTGGGGGGGGGGACCCCAAAATTGGAGAGACCCCCCCCCCCCCCCCTTTACTCCCCCCCCCCCCCACAAACACTCCCGGGGAGGCCCCAAATTTTTAGGGGGGCCCCAAAATTAGAGGGGGGGTCCCCAAAACTCACCTGCTCCACCCTCAGCTCCACGTCCCCGTGCACGGATTTGCCCTTGAAGGGTTTTCCCCTGGGGGGGGGGGCCCCAAAATTGGAGAGGCCCCCCCCCCCAAAATTTCCATCCCCCAGCCCAAAATGAATCCCCAACCCCCCCACCCCAATTAATCTTCCACAGGTGGCCCCAAAAATCTCCCCCAAAAAAATTCCTCCCCAAAAACCATCCCCGGGCGGCCCCGCCCCCGCCCCCGCCCCGCCCGCGTCACTTCCGGCCACGCCCCAGACCACGCCCTGTGGTTGATGGGCGTGGTTTCTGTGTGACGTCATGTCAGCCACACCCCTGGTTCTGCAGAAAGGGGCGGGGCACGGAAGGGTGTGGTCCGTGACGTCATCGCGCGCGGTGGTCGCCGAAATCCGCGGGGTGGCCCCTCCCCCACCGGGGTCCCCCTTCCCCTCCCCCCTCCCA